TAGTAATATTTACTCGCTCGATATTATTCTCTAACTTATTGGGCTCTCTCAAGTAAATATAAGCTTTAAATTAGTCTAACTTTCTAACATCTATGATCATATCTCTATATGATCATATCTCCCCCATGGGACTCACTAGTACTTACACTCAAAATTCTCCTTAGTGGTACATAGCCTTCATATATTGATGACTAAAGCTTTCATATGATGCAAAATTCGGTACAACATGAAAGACCCACTTCTATAATACTATTATATTCACTTCTTAAATTCATAGCCCTTTTTATTATCACATTGAAGTATAGCTCCTAATAGCTTCCAATCATGCCTTCGTATAATTGTCCTTCATTGGACATCTCTCGTGTGTGTCATATTGCCTCGAATTAAGCACTAGGATTTGTTGGACTATGTCATCTCCTAGTATATCTTCGTTATATTTTAATTATTATATGATAAACTTGGATCGTGATCTCTCAATATCTGTTCTCAACCAGCACATTCTAAGCTTCCATCACTTTTAATTATATTCACTCCTTCGGTAATCGACCTTTGTTTACTTGCTTTTAGGTCATACATAGATGAAGTGCAACTCTAAGATAGTCCATCATCTAACAGCTCTCAAAGTTCATTGACTTCACTAAAATTGTTATGCTATTATATGGAAACAAGGCCTTTGGCCCTAGCATAATCTACATTAGACACATCTTCCTTTGTGGCAACTTAAATGATAATACTACAGCATATTTTTCAAGAGTATCTACCTCTATATTCTTTTGTCTCATGCCACGGCCTTTTAAATCTAATTTTACCTCTGTAAGTTGAGTCACCTTAGTCCCTATGTTAATTACTTTACTAAGATATGGTGCATGTGCCTCAAAGCTTTATTCGACTTTGGAATAATATAAAATGAGTTCGCTTCATTAGAACAAGAGACCCATATAATAATATAATCTTACTCTTATCTCTGTTAGAGTTCATGTCCTTAATCTCTGTCCAATGAATGCCTAGTATTTTCGTGCCTTCACACCATGTTTCATCTTCTATGTTGACTCCCTTTATGCGACTTGAGCACTTCACCAAGTTTTACCTAAGTTGTTCTAATCCTTGGATTACATTAAGTTGATGGTGGCCATCATGCCTACTCCATATGTCAGTCCTCCATTGAAAATGATCTCCACATTGGCTCCAAGTGTGTCATAATCTAGTGTTGCCTAGAGTTGCTCCCTCATTTGATCTCATACTGCATCTACCAATGTATTATCTCATAAGAGATCATGTGATGACTCCTTGTTGCTCACTCGTTCCATTGAGCTTTATTGAGCTGTCATCTTGAGGTACCCCTCTCAACATATGTAGTCTATTGTATATGATTCTCCCTTTGATTGCCAATATCAAGCCGTAGCTCAAACTTAGCTATCTCAATCTTTATGTATTATATATTTTTTCTTGTTTGTTTGTCCTCATAATACATCGTGTACAAAAGGTTGGTCATTCTTTTAAATGTCAACCTTGAATATTTGCTCCTCTTAGTGATTCTTTTTTATATGTATCTACACCCTCCCTCAAATGATTATATGAGTTGGTTGCGTTCAACACAACCCCACTAAGTCCCCTATATTTGTATGCCAAGTATTTCTAAGTGTACTTTCTTTTCACGCTCTGATATCATATGTCATAGATTTAGTTGGTTTTGCCTAAGTCGTGCTATCACAAACTTAGTTAGAATTACTTAAATTATTAGGCATATTTGTGTTATCCGTCCATAAAAGGTTAGCTTAGTTGCAACCTCGTTTAGATTCCAAAGGACTTGTAAACAAGTAAATTGATTAGTTCTAAAAAGAAATGATGGATAAGTCTTGATGTCTCATAAAGAGGATAGCTTTACAAATAATTCAATAAATACTTAGTGTGCAAGAGAGAAATAACAAAAATGTCTACCACCACAACAGGTTTATGAGTAGCCTCCACATCTAGTAGCTCCAACTTTACTGTAACTATGAAAGTTAATTCACCCTTTTGCGCCCCTTCTTTAGTTGTAAAGTTGATATTTGTTGTGGGTCTTTAGTTTCTCCTTGAAAAACTTGAACCACACAAAGGTCATCACCTTCTATCAAATATAGGGAGTAAGAATGATATTAACACCAACTTCATCATGTGCATGAACTCCATTCTGAGGATCACTTGAAAGTCATCCAATAGTATCATCATATTAGTTGTGCTTTCGCTCCATATCTTGATCTTAATAGGGACCCCTTTTGTTAGCCCGGAGATTTGCTTTGCCTTCGAGTTTACCATCTTCATCCGACTTGGGCTCTTCTCTAGGTTCAACTTAAGTCGCCTTACTTTTTGATCGATAATAAAATTGTAAGTAGCACCCGTGTCCACCATTGCACAAGTTGTTCGACTATTTAGCTTGATGTTCATGTACATTAGTTCATTGCTCCCTATTTTTTTTTGCTTCATCTTCTTGTTCTCCCCCACTTGACCTTACAATGCATTCAACAAATGCATTGCTCCCATCTAGGATTCTTGCAAATCTTTATCATCACTATTGGATTTCGAACTACTCGAACTAAGGGTGATAATTTTTCCCTTCTCCAACCCCATTTTGCTTAATTCACCATAATGTTTTGCCATGTAAGATTGTAAACTTCCGTTATTTGATCGAACTGCTTGTCCACTCTAATACCATAATATAATAAACTTAGTTAGAATTACCTAAGTCATGAGACACCCTTACATTATCCATTCGCAAAGGATCAATCTAGTTGTACCCTTGCTTAAGTCTCGAAGGACCTACAAAAGAGCAAATTAATTAGTTCTGAAAATGAATGATAGACAAGTCCCAACATATAACAAAGAGGATAATTTTATTAATAATTTAACAAACACTTAGTGCGCAAAGAGAGAAAAAAGAGGAAGGAGAAAATATAAATTTTAAAAGGTAAACTAATAATCGCAAGTCTACGAATGGCTACTCACTGAGTGCCAAGTGGGTTAACAAGTTTCTATAATCTTAATATACGAATTTGTGAATTCAATCAATGCTCAATACTACCCAAAATCCTCATCCAGTCCTGGGCCACTCGAGTGGTTCTAGAGTACTGAGATGACTGACATTTGGCTCCGCATCACAACTTGTAAAAAACAAGTCATGACACACGAAAATTGGGTCATTTTAGAGCAGTTCTACCCATTTTGGTGAGCGATCATTCCGTAGTCTTGCAAACTATTCTTGCTTATAATTTTTAAGTAAAAACATATAAAAACAAGGTAAAACACATTGTCAAATATATATGCAAGTAAACAAAGGTGATGAATGATCTATTAATGAAAGTATTATGAGTGCACGATGACTATCTATGATAGTGCAACACCCTTGCATATTCATATGCAAAGGACTAACCTTATTGAAACATCTTATGGTCCAGTAAAGGCTTGTAAAAGAGAAGATAAGTTAGAGGAAGCATTTTTCTCGGGATCCTACGAGTAGAGATTTTACCAAACACTTAATAGATAATGTAAATTATAAATATAGACTCCGCAAACACTAAACAGTCATGCAACAAATGATCTCTCATGATCAAAAATCCCCACAAGTGCCCATATGACGCTACTGTGAAACATGGCAACGAATCAACCTTACATAATATCCCAAAGACCCATTCAATCATATAACATCTGAGTAGCTCTAGGATGCTATACTGGCTAACACTTTGTATCACCATACGAAGCTAAAAAATCCTAAAATGACTATTTGGATGATATATTTTGGGATAGTTTTAAATTTATACGATGGCCATAGACAACCTATATTTACAAAATTAAAATGACAATTAAAACTAATCAAAATAAAATTATCAAATCTATTGAAACTCTTTATATGATATGTGAAAAAAAACTAAATGACACAAATATAAACAAAAATTACATCTAACATCCGACTTTTATAAGTTATTTAAAAGAACGAACTTCTCTTCATTTTCTAATATTCTAAAATGATATGATCATGAACGTTGCTATGATGGAATCAAATTTGTACTTCAATTGATGAATTTTTAAGATTTGTAACTTCAATTATAATCATAATTTATTTTTTTATATTTAATTTCTTTTTCCCTTCCTTGAGCAATATGAGAAACGACATTAGAATTATTCTAAATATTATCATGTGCAACTTAATACCTTTAAACTAATTATAATTTATGCAAATATAAGATAAATTAAATTGGCTTTCACTAGGTAACAACTTATATCGAGTTATATAATTAAGATATGGATCAACTTGGATGATAAAACATCTTAACTAAAATACAACTCTAATAACAAATAGATTTAGGAGTAATTTACAATGAATATGGATTTTTTTTATGATAATAAAATAAAAGAAATATAAAATAAGATAACTATCAGACTAATCAAGGAATAAAGTTCAAAAATATCTCTGCACATAGACGATAAAATCATACCATTAAAAAAAATTGACAATTGTGTTCTCTCTCATCTCCCAGGTAATGTAAAAAAATAAATTCAATTCATTGACTCACTTCCGAATAACACATTACAAGATCTAATATATGATGATAATAATTGATAAACTTGTAAGATCTTAAATCAATATTTGTTACCTCTAATAACAATCATAATTTAATTTCTTCCAATTTTTTTTATACATTTGCTTCTCCTTTTTTTCTCCTTAAGTAATGCAGTAAACTTGATTAGAATTAATTTTAAAAAATTAGATTAAAACTGTTCTAAATATTGCCATGTGACAATTTATAATATAAGATGCCCATAAACTAATTAAATCTATTATAAATACAGTTCACTCCCAATTTATAAGTACTTTTAAAACATGGTCAAAGGTACTAAGCAACAAAATATATCTTTACGTAAGAAAACTGTTAATGGCAAATGGCCAGAAACCAATCAGGGCAAGAAACTTCTCTTTTTCTTGGCAAAGGGTGATGGCTCATGGATCAACATGGACTGGAAAAATATGCACAAAGGTGCCAAAATCTTTAAGAACAAGCTGAAGGTTTGAAGGCCAGAAGAACCGTCAAACTCTTAGCGGCTCACTGTTATCTGATCGTATTTACAGAACATAATTACTATCAAACAGGATGCAGAGAGTGTCTCTGCAAGAAGGGCAGGCGAAAAAGAAAAGGGTGACACATTACATTCAGATCAATCTCTTGCAAAGGTTGCAAATTTCTATTGCTGAGATTGCAGGAGATCTTGAGAACTGCTCATCATCCAGTTCTTCTTGCTTACAAATTACTGCAATCAGAACAAAGACATGTGATAGGCATTAGAAACATGCATATCATTAAATAGTAGTATTCATATTACAGAAGCGGTTAGCAACATGAAATCTCTAGTTACATAGCTGCCCTTAGTGCTAGCGGGTATATATTGCCATCCAAAACATTGCTAGGATATCCTATATAAACACTAAACAGATGTAACTATCTCAAGATTTTTTAATGAAACTGGTATAGATAATTACAACGGCGGAAAAAAAAAAACCAAACCTGCCTACCTTGGGTATCCTGAGGAAGACATATTAAGGTGATTCACTGAAGCATTCTTGTGAAAGTGAACAGAGATTAATCCACCGCGAACCGAAGATTCAGAACCATGAGATCTGACTATGGAACTCCTTTGTGAAAAAGCTTCTAACAGAACCACAAAAAGTATGAAACTGAGAAGCTTGATCAGTTAGATATTAACTTCCAGGATGTAATTACATCATAACTTGCAACAGCAGCTGTATTACTAGAGAGTTCGAAGACATACCTGATTGCAACTAATAAATCAGCACCTTAGAGGACAATTTAGGTGCCATGAAAACGAACTAGTGAAATATTTTTCATTGTCCCACAGATGTCAACACTTAAAATCATGATTTCTGATCAGTTATTTAACGATTAAATTAGAAGAGAATAACCCCAATGTGCTGGAAGCTTGTCCAAGAGTACAATTCCAGCAGAATCTGGAACCAAATCTTGAACAGATAGATTCCCAAAATGTTTTCATTATAAACTTCTGCAACTGAAGAAGTTATTGCACAACTTCTCCAAGTTTACATACAAAAAACTACGAATAGTGATTAATAACAAATATTGCTAACTTTACCTTAGAAGTGAGTGTTCATGATTCACAGTGCACAGGATGGACTTTTTATCATTACGTAGATGTAAATAGGCTGATAGGACAATCCAAACCTGGAGAAACTATATTTTCCTTTGATGCTTATTGCTATACAACAAATCACAAGTGAAAAAACTAATATAGAAAGGGACACAAACAGCTGAAAGTCAAAACAGACCAAATTTGTTTCAGCTTACATCAGAATACACCAAAATTAAGCTTAATTAAACATTAACTAAAACTCAAATCAGAGATTGATATAAATACTTTATATATAATATTAATTAATAAGCAGTTTAGTGCCCTTAAACACTTAAAATAAACCAGATACGGTTTACGTTTATATACGATCAAATCAAACACAATTGAATCTTAACATGCTCGAAAAAGGAAAAAAAAAGATACATATAAATATCATAATCAGTAAATGACAGTTGCACAAGGAAAAATATAGAGATGGTGTCATGACCCGGGCCTGATGGGCTAATTGGCCTATTAACTTCGTTTGGTCTAAACCACTGTCCTCGTCAAGGCTCAGCATAACCCATATCAAACCCTAACATAGTGCATGTGAAGCGTAGCTCAATGGTGGCTCCGCGCCATGACGAGTCCTCTGACTTCATTCACGGGTAATCCTTTCCTACTTGAGCTCCCTCACCATGCCCAAATACTAGGCCGGCTCTGATACCAAATGTCATGGCTCGAGCCTGATGAGCTAACTAGCCTATTAACTTCGTTTGGTCTAAACCACTGCCCAAAATGCTTAAACTGAAGTTGATAGTAGTACACTCATCAGATCCTTATAAGTCAATCTTAATCTTGCTCACTTCCGATGTGAGACTAAACATGGATGTTACAGATGGTGTACATTATATAGTATATACCACATCAGGTTGAATTATGTTTGGACTTCTCTAAGTGCTAAGCTTCATCAAGTATAATACGAAGCTGATGAAAACCCATTTTTAAGCACTCTGAATCAGTTGTCAGCCATAATTTGGGGCTAGGTATTGTAAACAGAATAAAACTGAGCATTGACACCATATTTGTATATCAATCCTAACATTGGAGTCATGTATAAAGCATGACAACAGATTCGGCAGTTCATCATAAGCCATTTTCCAGAAAACTATTGGCTTAAAAGCAGGATAACTAAAGAGCCATGCATACACATGAAAGTTGCAGTCATTGTAATTTACATAGTGAAATATTTAGATATAAGAATTGGTGATGTAAACAGGGAGATGATTACACCATTTTAAACATGTTATTCTAACGCAATTCACTCATATATATGAAAGCATCAAACTCAAACATCAACATTAGCTGAAAGATGGCTGCAGATGAAAGGACAACTGAGATGACCAATTGTTTCAAATTCTTAAATTGATATTAATTCAAAATTGTCATTCTAACACAACTTTTGTCGTGATTCTTGTCAGTCTTTGTCTCATAAATCAACCTTCAACAATACAAAGTTAAACTTTTAAAGAAAAAGGAACAAGATGATCAGTTGTTTCTTATTACTGTTCTCAGATAAGGCATGCTATTCTGGTGAGGTTTTTGACTTTGATTATGGCAGCATCAATATTGGGTGTACTAGCAACATCTGCAAGCATCTTGATTTGTATGAACTAGCATCAAGCAGAATTAACAAGACTTTCTTATACCTAGCAGAGGGTTACTTGAAACATTCCTTTTCTGCAACACAGAATGTAAAACAACACATTGTAAAATATTTGCACTTCAAGGGATCTGACATCAATATATGGTAAATAAAGCACATAAATATATATGTCAATGAAGAACAAATTCTTCCACAATATCTTACATCAATTACTTGGTAGCAACACAACCCAAGAAAAAAGAAGCTACAAAATGCTAGTAACTATACTGCCATTGATATATAAGTAACAACTTCCAGTAAAACTTGGAGGTACCAAAAATCATGGATGCAGTATACCTTGCCAGATTATAACAAGGCAGAAAAGAATGGTAACAATCAAGGCAAAGAAGTTGCCTGTAGAAGATGTCGACTTTGTGTTCCTCATCTTCTTTTTCATCTGCTCAATCCTTGCCCGCTTCATCATGGAAAGCTCAGAAATCTCCCTTATCAGCTTCTGATCAGCAGCATCCAACGATGGAGACCTGGGAGGCCGGGGTGGTTTCGGATGCTTTTTGCAGCCTTTCTTTTTCATTTTCTCCGCTCCCACCTTCTCCTCCAGAAGCCTCACCCATTCCTCTCCTCCATCCCTCTTGTCCACTGAAGCTTCTGCATTCCTGATAGGAAGCTCAGCACAACCAGGCATACCATTTTCCAATTTCACAGCTTCTTCATGTTTCATGAATCCATCAATGCCCAGAAAGCCACTCCATTCCTTATCCAACACTCTTCTCCCCTGCCCTGCGCCGCAGCCCACATCTTTTGCTTCCTCTTGTTGGTTTATCATCGTATTCATGCCACTTTCCAAATCCACCAAAACATCTCTATCTACTGATATTTGTCTATCCATGATAAACACAATCAATATAGAAGTTTCCTTTTCCCTTATCCGTCACGGCCCTAATCCAAACAGAAGCCCCCACATTCTCGTTATAATTTACGAAGAGCCACTTAGAACACCTCCAAATATTTCAAAAATCTCATCTTCCTGCGTAAAGTTAAGGTCAACGTTAGAATCAACACCCAAAAAAATACTGGCTTTAACGCCCGAAATCGAGAAGCCAAAAGAAGCAAATCATCTTGTCGTGAGAAACAACCAAAAATCTCAAAATGCAGCTACTGCATCTCCGATTGAACCCAATGTACTTGTTCTGACCTAAAGTCCAGATCATATTATCCCAAAGAAAAGAATAATCATTGGAGGAAGGCAAGAAAGCTACAGAAGACAAAAAAAAACACCAAGATGGGCCAAATATTACACAGAGTTCGTGCAAGAACAACCCCTACCAAACAACAAAAGGAGATCGTCAGCGCTTACCATTTTCCACCGGGGAAACAAAGCGTATGACCAAATCCAGAAGACGGCACGGGCGTGTCGCCCATTTCCCCATCAACGAACACCGAAGCTCCTCAAATCGGAGAGGGATTAGGGCAAGGGGAAGAGGATGTGTCGGCAAGGCTAAGACGAAACACAGGAAGAAGACGGAATAGAAGATAGAAGAGAAGAGCACAACAAAGGCACGAGAGAAATTGATGAAATAACGGAGGAAATGTGAGCAGTTAATTCGCGGGCCTCCGATGGCCTTAACCTGTTCCATCTGGCCCAAAACATGACATTGGATCAACGACTCTACAGGTGACACGTGGTAGCCGAGATCAGCAGTTTCCCGATGGTGCGCTGATCCTAACAATATCTTCGCCATGTGATAAGGTGAAATTGATTCTACATGACCCCGTGGTAATTGCCGACGCTAAGCTGGTCGTACTAATATGTGTGTCACGTCAATTATTTAGCGAAATTGATTTTATATGTTCCCATGTTTCGATTACTATTATAAGTTGAGGGTGAGAATTTTTTCGAACATGAAAGATATATGTCATTCATACCTCTTCTTACAAAAGAAAATAAATAAATCTTTTTCTAAGATAAAAAAAATGACTATATCTCGTGTCTCTTATCAAGATATTTATCTATATATATATATATATATATATATATATATATATATATATATATCTTGTGTCTTTATACAGTGTTTGTTTAATTCGTTCAATGTTTTTAATCATAAAATAAGAATATCATTTTTATATAATCTAGTTCTTCTGATTAACAAACTAATAATATAATATACTTGATAGGGTATATTCTGGTATCGCCTTCACAACAACACACAACAGTCAACAACGTGGAGCCTCGAAGCTGACATGGTGCACGGGCATAAATGTGACATCTTGGACCCCCTATGTGATGACAGATCGTGCTCGCGTTACTTGGGGTCATACGAGACGACATCGCACGGCATGGAACCGCCTTGGAAACATGCGAAACAACGTGACACGACATGAAACTATGCAGGTCAATCCACACCTTAAGGAATATACGGGCAGATCGCCCGAAACATTAACGAACCACATATGATCAACCCCTTGGCTAGCACGAGGCGATCGAACCTTAGGACACTAAAAACACAACACCTTCAACTCAACTTCATATTGACTTAAATTTCGAAAGAGTCAAATCAAAAATCCCCCTCTAGACTTCAGCATGTGTGCTGAAATTTGACATAAAAGAACCCACCTCATATTGTTCTACCTTGTCAATCCAACCGACGACGCTCCGACCCAACCTGACATCGACTCCCTCCGCTTAAGAATCTGCATGGACCACCTTGGGTCCTTGGGATCGAGTCATGTTCACTCCCTGACGATGACGTAAAGTTGTGTAACAATACCTTTTAAACTTTATTGATATGAAATGCTTAATAAGCCCTTCGTTATCTTCAGAATTGGCTGAATCTCATGAGTCGAATCAAAATAATAACCATATCACTATGTTTATGAGAAATTGATAAAATATATTGTATTTATCTCTCTAAATTTATTTAAAATATATATATATATATATATATATATATATATATATATTTTTTTTTGTGTGTGTGGGGTCATGACACAGTTCTCCAAGTATTGTACGGATCTCGTTTCACCATGGTGGTATCAAATGTAACGGTTTACATGAAACATATTTGACAAGATTGACACGCTTGCTCATACCTTCATCTCTCCATGCATGCCATTTTCTCCTCACCTCCGTTTAAACCATTAGCCGTTGCACTTTCCATCACTGAAACCTGTCAACAAATGTACACAAGAATTCCATTAGATTGGCAAAATCTAAGAGCCAGATCAGTATTAGATTACCCTCCCCTGTATAGATCTTGGGGGATCTATTGTGTCCCTTGGGAGAATCTAAGAGTCCAGCAGCAACCACAGCAATGTCCAATTCCACTCGATGTGCTGCTTGTCGATACCTGAGGAGGAGATGCTGCGAGGATTGTGTGTTAGCCCCCTACTTCCCCTCCGTCAACCCCGAAAGATTCGCCTGCGTTCATAGGATCTTTGGTGCCAGCAATGCCGCTCGAATGTTGCAGGTTCTTGTTCTTCCTGCATTCTTGCTATAATCACAATCACTAGTTCATGTGCCCTTCTCTGGATCTGGAACATATGAAAAAATTTCCTGCAAAACCAAGACATTTAATTAGACATGGTCAATCCAAAATTAAAGAGAGAATTTTCCAGCAACAAAACACAAGAACTTATATAATGAACATGTACTCTCATCAGTGTGCATAAATATCTTGCAGCAAATTCCAGTGGAGCAAAGAAGACAAGCTGCAGATGCTATTGCATTGGAGGCCTACTGGCGTGTGCAAGATCCAGTTTATGGGAGTGTTGGGGTGATATCGATGCTGCAGAGGGAGATCAGCGTCGCCCAACGTGAGCTGGCTGAGACCCAGGCTCAGGTCTCCATATACACCGCTCAAGGACAGTCCCAGTCGAATCAAATCACACAGGTCCAATACTTGGTGGATAATGCACACTTGATTCCAAATCAACCTCCCATCCCTGGTCTCTGCCAACCACCAGATATCCCTTAGAAGTTGATCCAAAGTTAAAATGCTTCATGCAACAATTTCTGGTAGAATTTTATTTTAATTTTCTTTCTTGTGAAGACTATTAAGATGTTCTAACCCTTATAGCATGAACTGAAGAAATAAATGTTAGATCAACTTAATGGACCTGACATTCCTGACTAGTTCTTAATATCAGAACGTTCTTGACTATTTATATGAACTAACCTTGCAGCACAACTTTCAACAAATCCAAAAAAAACTTTCTTTAAGAGTTGCATCACATATATCATAACAATGTCACGACAAAGGATCCTTCAAGCAGGTTATGTTTTTGCTGACTCCTAACAGAATTCTTATCACAAGAGCAAGGTAGGCTATTAATGATAAGCATAACATACCAAATGATAAGAGCTCTTGAGACAAACATAACTTGAGACGACTGAGCCAGAGGTTTAAACTTTAAACCTTTGATTGAAAGACTGCCCCTACCGTCTTGAAGAACTCCATTAGGAGTTAACAAGGTCAGTGTCAAGAGACATGTTTGGGAAACAGTGTTGACTTTAATGACTTCATATTCATAGTCTTCAGGAACATGCCATGGCTCCCACTCTATAATTAAATATTTAAAGTAGAAAAGTATAAGTAATTAAAAACAGGATAAGTTGCTAAAAGAAACAAACAGCAAATAAACTAGAGATTTCGTTGTGAGATGTTCATGACAAGAGAGGACTTCAACAGATAGATGAAAAAGGATTTCTAGATTTCACTAGGACCTAGCTCCTCTCAGCTGATGTCTTTGAGCATTACAAGCCAACACAAAGAAGAGAAGTCAAAACACTCAACCTATTTACATAAAACTTCCAACATCTAGTTCTCTCTTCTCAAGTTCTAATTTTTTTGTGCGCTTTTATCATTATTATGACTACCAAATCATGTTAAAAAAAGAGAACTACTTATCCATATGAATATGATAAACCACCGCAACCATACCAGAATGCAAGTATGTAGCAGTTTAACTCCATATGTAACCACCAACAACCATACTAAAATGCGAAAGAAACAGTTGCTCTGTATGGACTTATGTTGATATGACATTCTTCCTAATCTTGATGGTGCATCATTTAGAGCCAATGCCTGAAATGTGCATTCCCTAAGTTAAGGAGAAAAAGATTGACAAAGGTGATCCTAGAAATCAAAGCAGGGCATGATATACAAAAAGACACATCTAATGATCTGCAGGAATTGCGGAAACAAACAAACCAGAGGCATTTATCAGTTTTGGCTTCAATCAAGCTTTCATCTGTAATATATGTCAAACTTATACACTAAATTGCAGAATGGAAATTTCTCTCACATATTCCTGTGTTGAACTGCACCAAACTATGTCTCATATATTTGATGTGCAAGACTGTCTAACTTGACTTGTAAGAAGGTTGAACTTCTAAATCAAAAGCTTGAAGCAACAACTGACCTTAGTCACTAAATACAGCAGCTGTAAATCATACCTTCGCGATTGTTTCTTTAGTTTTAAAAAACTAGATCCATCCTGAATTTTGATTTTCTCTTACTTGAGACTCCTAGAAAGACACCTAGTCCAGAAATTGCAACCAAAATTACGTGGCCAGAGTACTGAACTCACTAGTACTTGCCTTGGTGTCCACATTTATAGACTTAACACATTCAATCACTATGCATAAACACATTAATATTGGACATTAAATAGATAAACATTCCATTTGTCAGCTTTGTCCTTTTTAGTGTATAACAGCAAGATTTCAGTTCAGCCGATGTTAGCATCATCCTTGACCATAAGGATAGGCATGAGAAATGATGCAAATGATGACAAAAATGAGTTTTTACCATCCCTGCACTGAAAAACAAATATAATACAAATTCATTATTTGACATAAAGAATGGTGATATCATTTTTAAACAAGATAACAACCTTAGTTTCAACCTGCATCTAGTAAATCAGACAATTAGTGCAACCTAAGCTATGAGGTGCCATAGTTTCTACCAAATTCTGGACAACATTAGGAAGCTTGATGTGTGGATATGTTGAGTGTGCTAGCCAAGTCACATTTTAAAATTAATATGATTCAGCAAAGCATTGTCTAACACCATATTAGACAATCACATCTGCACTTTTCTGAAAAAGCAGGCATAAACCAGATCTCAAATGAGATAACAACTAGCAAGAATAAGACAAATTTCAACATGATGTAGTTGACTAATTTTAACATTTTATGTTCCAGCTAAGTATGTAGGTTACACAGGAGCAAGTATTGTATAATTGATCTCATTGTCAACCACTATTCATCATCCTACCATCCCGACTGTCACAATATGCATGAGCTGTTCATTCAAAGAAAAGATCATCTTTTATGGCATTGCCATCCCCATAGTCTTCCTTCTCATCGTGAAACCTATAAAGGTCTTCATTCTAGTGAGACGGCGAGAACAGACAACAAGCAATTCTATGAGACGGATAAGCCATAGAATACTGAAGAGCCTACTCACTCTAAATACCTACTATTTACTAATAAACATGTGAGAAAAGGATGAAAATCTCAAAGATCACTCAGTTTCAGACCCGGGAAGCCCTAAATCACCAATCCGACTCTGGCGAGGAACAGAAAAGAAGAGAAAGGGGGGATCAGAGCAAGGGCGGACCGAGCATCATGTAGATGAGGTTGAGATTTTCAAGGGCTTCCTCGATGAGCTCCTCGACCTGGCCAAATCCGAGGCGCTTCTCGACGGCCTCCCTGTCCCCTTCCTCCCGACAGACCTTGAGGCGACAGCGGGTTAAGATCTCGTCATCTACGGCCTCGCGGTAGCCCTCGTCCTCGAGTTTGCGGATTCCGAGGGAGATGAGGCAACCTCCCATGGGCCGGGAACCACCTCAAGTCCCACGATGGCCGTCGTCTCCTTCATCTCCGTCGCCACCTGCATCCACGCGCTTTCATGCCGATTGAAATGGAGAAAGTAAAAGGTTTGACAAAGATGAAGATGACCGGTTCAATGCGTTAAAACGTCGATCCAACGGCTCAGATTGTGCAGTTCGGGATTTGTTTTAGTTCCGCTTGAGTATAGTTTTTAACCGGTTCAACGGACCGACCAAACCAGGTCCGATTCGACCGGGTAATCAATTGATTCGAACCTAAATTAATTATATATGTACATTGGATCCATTCATACCGCTGGATTTTGCATGCAGTTGTTCTTTCTTTAGTTTTCGTCACGCGCTCACGTAATCCGAAGTAATTGCTTCCCGTGCTTTAAGATTAGAGACCCTTCATGATCCATCGAAGCGCACGAGCTGTGAGTCGTCAACGAGGATAGTTTTATCATTTTAAAAAATAAGGGCTTCCTTGCGCCATTTTGGAAATGAGGAACGCTATATAGGAAAATTTAAACTTGAGGCTTGTCTAGAGAAATCGACTAAAATTATATATATATATATATATATATATATATATATATATATATATATATATATATATATATATATATATA